GAGGTGGGCCTGCGCCCGAGGGGCGGGCGGCCCTGCGAGGGGAGGGATTTCCTGCCGGAGGCCGCCGCCGAGCCGCGGGAGAGAGCCCGTGCAAAGGCCTGACGTCGAGCGCCCGGCAGAGTGGGGCACACCCCCCCAGCCCTAACCCGCACCCCAACGTGTCCCCAGGCCGGACCACCTCAACAGTCACGTCAGACAAGTGCACTCCACAGAGCGGCCCTTCAAATGTGAGGTAGGAAGCCCGCCTCCTCCTGTCCCGGTTTTCATGATTTTGAGCCTCATGGTAGCTGTCTGAGTTCAGCCTCTCAGACCCCCTTTTTCTCTCTCTTCTTTTTGCCTTTTCACTCCATTTTCTCATTTCTTCTTCAAGGCCTCATCTCACTCCCATTTCCTACAGATCAAAGACCCCCAAGGCTCTGATCCCTTTAACCTCTTGCTCCCTGCTCCCCACTCCTGGAAGCTTTAACTCTCCTGTGACGCCCCCCACGCCCCTCCCCCCTCCCCAGAAATGTGAGGCAGCTTTTGCTACGAAGGATCGACTGCGGGCACACACAGTCCGACACGAGGAGAAGGTGCCCTGTCACGTGTGTGGCAAGATGCTGAGCTCAGCTTATATTTCGGACCACATGAAGGTGCACAGCCAGGGCCCTCATCATGTCTGTGAGCTCTGCAACAAAGGTGCGTGCTGAGGGGTGCCGGGAGGGCTCGGGATGGGGGCACGGCTGGTGGCCTTTCCACAGGTGTGCGTTAAGGGTGCTGGTAGCCAAGAGCTCGTGGCGTCTAGAGCCCTCTAGGAAGGACGCAAAGTAGCATGGGGGACCACTGCACAATTACGAAATTATAAGGTGGTGTGGCCCGGGAGATGACCTACCTGGGAGTCAATCTCCTAGGTGTCTGTGGGGAGAACAGGTGGGACACGCATCCTTTGGGAAAGGAGTGGTCAAGAGCCAGTCCGTAAGGGTCAGAGGTGAGGTTTCCGCTGTGCAGCCACAAGTTCTTGTCTCCAGTTCCTGGGGCAAGTAGAGGACAATGGCAGGGGTTTAAGAAATACGTGCCCTGTTCTGGTAGCAGAGAAAGCGCGCTGAGCAACTGGGCTGAGACTGGGGGGCACTGGAGGGGTGGGACACAGCCGTCTCTGCTGAGAGTCTGCCCTCAGGTAGCTAGGAATCCGGTCTTGTCACCCTAGGAGAGAGCTCCTGGCCGTGGAGAAGGGGCTCTGTAGATACCAAGGCAGAGGAATGGACACCACCCGAACTGCTCCCCAACAGAGTAGCTGGCCCCAGGCTACCAGGATGTGGTGGGAGGAGGACAGGGTCATCTGAGGAGGCTGTCCCCAGCCTAGGAGAACAACCCCGTCTCTGGGGTCTCCACCTGGCTGACCCCCATTCCCCAATCCCAAACCCCCCCACTAGGCTTCACCACAGCAGCATACCTGCGCATCCACGCGGTGAAGGACCATGGGCTCCAGGCCCCGCGGGCTGACCGCATCCTGTGCAAGCTGTGCAGCGTGCACTGCAAGACCCCTGCCCAGCTGGCCGGCCACATGCAGACCCATCTGGGGGGGGCCGCCCCCCCTGTCCCAGGAGATGCCCCCCAGCCACAGCCCACCTGCTGAGGGGGACCCCGCACCCACCAGGCAAGGCGTGGGGCATGGCTGGGGGGGCAGGATGGGGTGTGTGGGACACGGGGTCAAAGGGCCCAGCAAGGGATCTCAGGAAGGCCAGAGATACTCATCTTTTGCTCAGGTTAGGGAGATTTGGGGGCCAGGGAGGGCCCTTCAGGAGAAACCCTTCTTGTCTAGATAAGGAGGCAGGCCAAAGCTTTGGGGCCCGATAGGAAGTGAGCAACGGCTGTGTCCCAGGGGAAGTAGTCTGGGGGACAGGGGTAAAGGCTCTTGCCGTTCAGGTTGCGCTGTGATTGTGGTGTTTCTCACTGCAGGTACTGGTGAGGTTTGTCCAATGGCGGCAGCGGCGGCAGCGGCAGCGGCGGCGGCAGCAGCAGCGGCGGCAGCAGTGGCAGCCCCTCCCACAGCTGTGGGCTCCCTCTCTGGGGCGGAGGGGGTGCCAGTGAGCTCTCAGCCACTTCCCTCCCAGCCCTGGTGAGCTCCACGTTGGTGGGGGAAGAGCAGAGAGTGGAGCAAGCCCTTCGGTAGTCTTCTCTTCCCCTCTCTCTTCCTACCAACTCCTCACTAGTTCCCTCCAACCAAGGAGCCTCCAGAAAGAAAGGAGGAAGAAATGCATTCTTAGGGGAATTCGCTAGGTTTTAACGATTTGTTCCTCCTCTCCTCTCCTTATCAGAGCTGACCCTACACACACCTGTCCCCTCAGTTGTGTTGAAGTCCCATGGACAGTGGGCAGGGGTGTCAAGAGGACAGGAGCAAGCACTGCCCCTATCCCCTCTTCTCCCTGTAAGGCCCTGCCCTCCCGGGGATTTGTGAGCCTTCTCCAGTGGTCCTTGCTCCCCTCCTTCCGGTCTTCTCCCCCTGCTGTCTGCTGCCCCTGCCTGGGGAGTTGGTGCTTTTTTTTCCCAGGGGGAGGGAGGAGAGGAAGGAGAGGAATCAAAGATTCTGTCCTAAAGAGGGAGGATGGTGAGATTGAGAAAGGACAGAAGCAGGGAAGGCAGAGGTTATATCTTCATAAGATAGGCTTGTTGGGGTTAGGCCCTAAACATCGTCCTACTTGAGAATCTGTCGGGGGGGAAAAAAGTCAAGGGGATCAAAAGGAGGAGCCACTAGGGCCAGAGGCAGAATCCGAGGTGGAACTTTAGGGGGCCAGGGTGAAGGAGTGGAACCAGGGACTAGAGGTGCTTCCTGGGGCGGGGGAAATGCAGCCACAGTGTCTTGCCCTTCCCTCTTCCACCCCCGCTCCAGCCCTGGTCTTTTCTTTTCATCCTTTTCCCCCATGACAGAAGCTGTGGCCCTGGCCATGTCATCGTGTTCCTGTTGTCCCCTGCATGTTCCCCCACCCTCCAACCCCTTTTGCGCGGACCCCATTACAATAAATTTTAAATAAAAACTTGGCTGTGGCTCTGGGTTCAGTGAATTGCCGAGACCCCTTTCCCTCTCCCCAAGGGGTTTCTCTGCCAGCTCGAAATCCCAACCTTGCCCTGCTCTGTGGGCTCAGACCTTAGTTCGTCCCTCCCCAGAGGCTACATCAGAGGTTAGGGTGGGGCCGCGGCTCCAGTGGCTGCGGAAAGGAGTTAAGGACTTCAAAGTCTCTAGGGGAATACCCAGTCTGGACCCACCCAAAATAGCCGCTGCAGGTTCCAAGAGGCCCGAGTTAGACCTCCAGGCAGTGGCGTGGCGGGGATACCGTGCCCACTCCCTGCTGCTCAGACCCCAGCCGCACACCTGCATGCCCTTAAAGCCGTGGCAGGTGGTGTGGGTCAGAAAGTTGAAGGGAATCGGGCCCCAAACAGAGCACTAGGACCACCTTGCACCTATTCCCCGGTCCTGGGCCTAGTGCCCCGCGTTTACGCAGCTCAGGGACCCAGCCCTCCTGCTGTCCCCGGCTGCCCCTGCAGCCTCTGCCGTGCGCTGTTCTTCCCAGGCTTCCTTTCCTGAGCCTGCCAGTGCCCATTTCAGTTGGGAGACTTCCTGCTCTGCAGGCGCTCTTCTCTTGAGACCCCACCTTGCTCCTCTGTGCAGCCTCCCCAAGCTTTGCCCCCTCTCCCTTCCCCTCTGCTGTAGGGGTGCCACCGCCCAGTCTTGCTTTGGTCCTGGTGTCGACTCCTCGCAGACCCCGGTCTCTGCCTGGATCCTGGGTGACCGTTGGCGGGAGGGGCTGAGGACCTAGGAAGGGGGCGCCCCCTCGGGAGCTGCACGTGGGTAGGGGCAGGGAGGGGCGACCGTGGTCCCCGGCCGTTGCCTGGGTAACGCGGGGCCTGGCACGCGCGGCTCCTTCGGGCTGGCCGGGAGGGGCTGGAGGCGTGCGAGGGGCGGGGGCGGCGCGCGCGGCGGCAGCAGCAGCGGAGCGCAGGGGAGGGGACCGGAGGAGAGGGGACGAGCGAGAGGAGAGGAGGGGACCCGTCTCCTCCCTCCTGCGCTCACTGACTCGCTCCCTCCCGGGCTGCGGCTATTGGAACCGCGGCGGCGGCGGAGGCGGCTGGGGCCGTCCGGAGGCCGGCGTCGAGGTGAGGCTGGCTCGAACTGAGGCTGCGGGTAGGAGGGGACCGACAGACGGACCGGAATGCACAGGAATGCGGGCGCGGGCAAGCTGGAGGGTGGTGCTGGGCGCGCCGCCGTCCCGGGAGGAGGGCCGTCCGCCCGCCGAGGGCCAGGGAATCCCCGAGAGAGAGGTCGGAGAAGGGACTTCCGAGGTGTCCGGGACCCTCAGGAAGGGGCGGGGGCGTCTGCGCCCCAAACGCGCAGCAAGAAAACCCGCACCACCTGAGCGCCCAGGGAGGAGATGCGGCGTGAGTGGAGTGTGTGCGCATATTGGGTTCCCTGTGTAATCTGTTTGTCGGAGCGTTATGGTGTCCGCACAGCTTGTTGATTGGGGGGTGCTCTGGCATCTGCTGAGATCTGAAAGTCTGGATCTTGTTGGGTGCACCAGGGAGAGACCCTGGGGAGGGTTCTGTTTATAAGAGGGTTTATCTTCGCGGGGCTCCCCAAACAGAAGACCGAGCAGAGCACTTCTCCCCAGGGATGTCCTACCCCAAGGCAAAGGAAGCCCTAACTTTTCTTCCTTTCCCCAGAGACAGCACAAGGCTGGCCCTGAGACAGGAGCCTGGTGCTGTGGGGCCTGCAACCCTGAGAGCCCCTCTTCCCTTCTCACACCAAACCTGTCTCCTCCTCTTCCAGGATCTGCTACTGTCTCTGCTATCCCCTCCTCCCCACAGGGGCCCTCTCCCGTCTCCCCTCTCAAGATGGCAGCCAGCCCTTCTGAGGTCTCTGAGGCCAAGGGGGTGGAAGAGAGTCCCGAGACCCAGGGAGAAGGGCCTGGCAATCCCGAAGCTGGAGCTGGTCCTCTTCCGGTCCTAGCAGGGGTCCCAGAGCAGCCAGAGGCTCTGCAGCCAGGCCCAGACACAACTGCAGCCCCTGTGGACTTGGGGCCCAACGCTGGGCTGGCTCTAGAAACCACAGGGACCCCAGCTGAAGCCCCGGAAACAGCCCAGGCTACAGACCTCAGCTTAAGCCCAGGAGGGGAATCAAAGGCCAACTCCAGCCCTGGAGAAGTGTCCCAAGAGCCAGCATCCAAACCAGCAGGGAACAAAGAGCCCACTGCAGCCCAGGGGTCAGAGCAGGAGCCCGCAGCCCCACCTGAGCCAGCCTCAGAGCCTGCTCCCAAGCTAGAGCCCCAGTCAGACCCTCAGCCAGCTTCCCAGCCCACCCCCGAAGCAGCCCTCCAACCGGAGCCCCCTGCCCAAGAAGACCCCACCCTGGATGTCCTTACCGAGAACGTGGGGGAAAAGCAGGAGAATGGGGCCGTGGTCCCTCTGCAGGCTGGCGATGGGGAGGAGGGCCCAGCCCCTCACCCGCACTTGCCCCCCTCAACAAAACCCTCCCCAGCGAATGGGGCTCCTCCCCGGGTTCTGCAGCAGCTTGTTGAGGAGGACCGAATAGGAAGGGCTCACGGTGGGCATCCGGGATCTCCTCGAGGTAGTCTGAGCCGCCACCCCAGCTCCCAGTTGGCAGGGCCTGGGATAGAGGGGGGTGAAGGCACCCAGAAACCTCGGGACTACATCATCCTTGCTATCCTGTCCTGCTTCTGCCCCATGTGGCCTGTCAACATCGTGGCCTTCGCTTATGCTGTCATGGTGAGCCTCAGGGGACCCTGGCCTAGGTCTGCTGTGGCTCTCTGCTGCCCGCCAGGGCTGGGTCCGAGCCCCAAGAGAGACGGAGCCTTCCCTTCCCTCTCTGCATGGACCCACTTCCCAGATGACGGGACCTTTGTTTGCCTCTCCCCAGGACCTAACCCCCAGCAGCTGCTGTCCTGCCCCTGCAGGTGGGAGGGTTACGGAGACCTGTTCACGCAGCCACACTGACCTGTGCCCTCTTCACTCTGCCTTCCCGGTCCTCCTCCCTCCCTTAACTCCATGGGCCGGCCTCGCCTCCGGACGACTTCCACCTGATCCCTGCTGGGCTGGCTTCTCCTGACCTGGGCCATGGCCGTGGTCCGCCCCCTCACCCTAACCCCAGTCCCGGAACAGCCTGCAGCAGGGGGACGTGGATGGGGCCCAGCGCCTGGGCCGAGTGGCCAAGCTCTTAAGCATCGTGGCACTGGTGGGGGGGGTCCTCATCATCATCGCCTCCTGCGTCATCAACCTAGGCGGTGAGTGGGGGTCGGGGACAGGCAGGGGAGGAGCGGAAGGGCTGACAAGGGCAGCTTTACTAACCCCTGGCCCTGCTTTCTCCTGTCTGTTCTCCCTACTTCTTTGTCTCTCTTGTCTCCCCCCCTTGCCCTCCCTGTCTCTGTCTGTCCTTCCCTCTCCTCTCCCACAGTGTATAAGTGAGGGGCTCTGCCCTGCATCCCAAGACCTTTCTTCCTGTTGGGAGCTGCCTTGGGCCCATCCCTCCCATGGGGGGAGCCCAATCGATGGCCCTGGCCCCCACCCCTAGGGACCAAGGGAGCCTGAGCGGACTTGTTTACAGCTTCTTTCCTGCTCCTGCATCCTGCCAGGCTCCTCTGCCAACCGTAGGCCTCCCCGCTCCCTGCACTTCTGTCTGCTGATCCTTCCCCTCCAGCCTCCTGGCCTCCCTAGCCCCGCACTTGTGGAAACCAACCTGCACATCTCCCAGTCTCTGTGCTCTCAGCCACCCTGCATCCCTCCCAGCCTCCCTGCACTTCCAGTCTCCCGGTTTCTCTGAACTTTAACCCTGGCCCGTTCCCAACTTCCACTGTCTTGGCATCTAACCCGTTCCTCCCCTCCTTCCCTTTATCATCTGTACCCCCTTCCCACACCCCCCTTCCTTATTCTGCCTCTTCCTCACCCCTCAGCATCCTCTTCACCTTCCTGCCACCGTTTATTCTGCAAGAACTCCAGCACTTAGACTGTCAGGCCGGGGGAGGTGGAGTGGTGTCTGGACAGGGCTACCTAGCCCGGGGCTCCAAATGTTCTTCGCTGGGGGCCCGGACCCCTTACTACCCCGCCCCCACCAGGCGCTTTTTGGGTCGCCAGGAGGCAAGCCAGCCTGTCCTGGGGACTTGGGCAAGGGGGTCCCGGTTCTAAACGCGCCAGGGCGGAGAGAGGGCGGCGCCTGGAGGTTCCGAAGGAGCCGACCCGCCCACTTGAGCTTTTAACCTTAAGGGAGTTTCTTGCTTGAAGGTGTCGGGAAGGGGGGTTCGGGCCATTCACGAAACAAACAAACAAACAGAGGACCAAAGCTCCCGGCTGCTGGGGGCGAAGGAGGAGCGGGGAGGCTCTATAATTATTTTCTAAGACGACCAGGGATGTTTGTTGTGCGCGACAGCCCGCTGAGGAGGCAGAGGGCCAGCTGCGACGCGTTTCGGAGTTGGCGGAGTTTTTGTTTTCTAAAAAAAAAAAGTTGGGGAGAAAAACTAAAATTCCTTTAAAACAAGATATATAAAACTGACTTTCCCCTTTGTATGCTGGATGCTGCATGAGTCTGAAACACCAATAAATGGAGACTGCATGAGACTCGGCTCATGTTGGTCCCTGCGTTCTTCTGCCCCGCCGTTCATCTGCCTCCTGGCAGAGCCGACCGGATGGTACACGCATGCGCCTTCGTGGTCCCCATCTTTACTGTGGGCCGAAGCCTGATCTGCGCGAGGGCCTACTTGCGCATGTGCAAGCCATCCCTCGCTTTCCTTTCCAAGTAGCTTTGACTGGAGCGGAGCCTCCCGCGCCATTTCTGTGCGCCTGCGCACTGTCACCCTGCGCAGCCGGGGAGGCGGGTCGTAGCCCCAGGTGCGTACGAGCGGCTGAGTGGACGTGGCCCAGAACCGCGGGCTCTGGGCGGAGGGCGCTGGTCCCTGTGCGGACGGGGGCAGAGTGGGCCTGCCCCTCCCCACCTCGGAGATAGAGATAGGGTGGTTTCTGCGGGTCCCGCAGAACGTCAGCTGCGGGTCTGTGGGCGGGGCCCTTCCCTCGGGGAGATCGAGCGCCCCCTCCTGGGGACGGGCGCGTTAGCCGGAGACAGCTGTTGGAGCCCGATTGGCCGCCGGTTTCCCAAAGCCCGGGGCGGGGGTCCCAGTCCCTTGGGGCGGGGCACCCCGGTTTGGTACTCCAGGGTCCCTTGTATTGCCGGACCTCTTCCCTAGTGGCCCATGTCTCTTGCACGGGGTCATGGAGACATTGCGGCCACAACGGCGCCTCTGTCTGAAGAAGGGGAAGTGACTTCCGGCCTCCAGGCTCTGGCGGTGGAGGACACCGGAGGCCCCTCTATCTCGGCCAGTAAGGCCGAGGAAGAGGGGGGAGAAGGCCAGGAGAAGGCCGAGCGTGAGGGATCGGGGGCCGAGGAAGCCAAAGGAGAAGCCTCCAGCGCGGGAAGGGAGGAGCGAGCCGAGGGAGACTCGGAGGACTGGTGCGTGCCCTGCAGCGACGAGGAGGTGGAGCTGCCTGCGGATGGGCAGGCCTGGATGCCTCCGCCCTCCGAGATCCAGCGGCTCTACGAACTGCTAGCCGCTCAGGGTACCCTGGAGCTGCAAGCGGAGATCCTGCCCCGCCGCCCTCCTACGCCCGAAGCTCAGAGCGAAGAGGAAAGATCTGATGAGGAGCCGGAGGCCAAAGAAGAAGAAGAGGAAAAGTGAGGACACAACTTTGCCCCTGGGGCTACCCCCCCACACATGGTAGAAGGAGCGGGGAGGGTAAAAAGGTGGGACCTGAGAGCGGTAGAAAGTGCAAGGAGCCCCGGGCGTGCTGGCACTTACCTGTAATCCCAGCACTTGGGAAGCTGAGGCCGTGGGTCGCTGTGACTTTCAGGCCAGCCTGAGCTGCATAGCGAGACCCCATCTCAAAAAAATAAAACAAAATAGAAAGTTGAAGGAGGGTGGAGAGCCACAGACTGGGGAGAAACGTGTGGGGGTGTTCGGTAGGGCCACCCTCATCCTCTTCTGTCTGTCCTCCTGCCCCAGACCACACATACCCACGGAATTTGACTTCGATGACGAACCAATGACACCGAAGGACTCCCTAATCGATCGGAGGCGCACCCCAGGTACAGACAAGAGGGATGAGTTGGGAGGAGAGGAAGGGCCTCTCTTCCCAGTTACCAAAAAAGTGGCTCCTTTAAAGAGGGGCTGTTCAGTTGCCACACAGCTTATAGAAAAAAACATGCACCTTGTGGTCCCACCATCCTGGCTTAGGTTGATGCCCTATCTTCCTTTAAGAAAGCCCCATCGGCCAGGCGTGGTGGCACACGCCTATAATCCCAGCACTCAGGAGGCTGAGGCAGGAGGATCCTTGTGAGTTCAAGACCAGCCTGGGCTGCAAAGTGAGCTCAAGGCCAGCCTGAACTGTATAGGGAGACCCTGTCTCAAAAAGAGAAAAAAAAAAAAAAAGAAAGAAAGAAAGAAAGCACCACCAATAGTTCCACCATGTTTTCTACTCTTCATTTTCTCCCCAGAAGTCCAAAGTCCTGCTGAGCATTGTTCTCTAGATCCACATCCCTGAACTACTGTGTGCATCACCAAATCTGATCCAGTTTCATCCTTCCATTTACCCCGTTAGTCAAGCCAAGTCCTGTTAGTTTTCCTGTACATTTCCAAGTCCATCTGCCCCTGTCCGCCTTCAATACCAGACCTCATCCAAGCCACTATCTCACTTGCCTGGATAGTCTCAGTAGCCCTCATTGGTCTCCCCGCTTCCAGTCTCAGCAATCAGAGCTGTTTGTTTAAAACAAATGTCGCTTCTGTACTTAAAATCCCCCAGAGAATTCCCCTCCAAGAGTCCCTACCTAACCCCACCTTGCTTCTTGAAACAGATCTGTTTCTGCCCAGGGCCTTTGCACTTGCTTGTCCCCTGCTTGGTAGGCTCTTCCCTTGTCTTCACATTACTCAGGCACATTTAGGACCTTCATTGCCCACACTGTCTGTGGCCCAGCTTTAATCCTTATAACCTTTACGCTGAGGCCTGGAAGCCTGGGTATTAAATGAGTTCAAGTGGTGAGTAAGGTCCAGGCAGCAGTAGTGTGCACTGCCTCAGTCCTTTCCGTATTTCCTACCTTCCTCTTCTCTAGGAAGCTCAGCTCGGAGCCAGAAAAGGGAGGCCCGCTTGGACAAGGTCCTCTCAGACATGAAGCGACACAAGAAGCTAGAGGAACAGATCCTTCGGACTGGGAGAGACCTCTTCAGCCTGGACTCAGAGGACCCCAGCCCAGCCAGCCCCCCGCTCCGCTCCTCGGGGAGTAATCTCTTTCCCCGGCAGCGGAAATACTGAAATGCTGACTGTTGCTGCTGCCGCCTCCGAGGTGCAGAGACTGTCCTTGCTAGGGCTTGGTCCCTCCCTCCCTAAACCAGGACACTGGAAAACTTGGGAAGAGGAGTGAAACCCCAGGCTCCCAACGCAGCACTTTGCAGGAAAGAGGGAGTGTGTGTGTGTTTTCTGTCGAATGTCTTACTTTGAGACCGGGGCTGGATTTTCTAAAATAAAAGGTGCAGAGTTTTCTTAAGAGCAGATGCAGCTGGAGACTTAAACAATTGCCCGCAGTTAAGCAGAGAGGTAGAATTTTATTGACCCAGATTGGAAAACTAAAGCCAGACGAGACAGAGGACGATTCAGCCAGCATCTGTCCGCTTGTCTCGGGCCCTTGACCAGTCCTAGTCGCATGGGGCAGCGTTCCAGTTGGCTCTGAAGCAAAAATTCCTGAGCATGGAAGCTGCAACCAGGGCAGCCCAGAGGCGAAAATGAACATCAGCTGCTTGGCCCTTTAACTACTAAGCCCCGCCCTCGCGGCCCCGCCCACCTTTTGGCCCCGCCCCCGCCCAGCTCTGGCGGTAGGAGATCCCCGGGGCTGAGTGACTTTCCTGGCCTGCCGAGCGCTGCTCCTGCTGCTGCCGCTCTTCCACATGTGAGTACTTTTCGCTTCCTCCCCGCCCCCACTAATGGCGGGTCTCTGAGCCCCGCAGAGTTCTTTTTAGACCTGGCCTATCTTCTAGGGCCTTTCTTCTGCAGGGAAGATAAAACTTCTCTGAATCAGAGCAGGGAGAAAGGGTGGAGGCTTTGCTTTGGGAGGTTTTGCTTTCTTGTTGGGAGTTTTCTGGGGTTCGAAGGAAGGGTAGATCAGTTGGCCACACCCCTAGATCTCAGCTTCTGACTGCAAGTAAGGTGGTGCATTACGGGGGGATTGAATCCGGGGCTTTCATGCTGAGTTCCTGAACCCTTTTTAAATTTTTCATTTTGAGGCTAGGCGTGGCGGCACAGGCCTGTAGTTCCTGCACTCGGGAGGCTGAGGCAAGAGGATCACTTCAAGTTTGAGGCCAGCCTGAACTGCATAGAGCATCCGTGTCTCAAAAAGACCAAAAAAAAAAAAAAAAAAAAAGTTATTTTGAGATAGGGTCTCCAAATTGCTCAGGCTGGGTTCAGACTAGCCAGCCTTCTGCCTTGGCTTCCCAGAGTGCTGGTATTACAGGCATATGCGACCATGACCGTCTGAATTGGTCATTTTCTTGTTTTTTTGTTTATCCTTTTGACATGGTTTCGCTATGCAGTTCAGGCTGGCCTTGAGCTCACTATGTAGCCCAGGCTGGTTTCGAACTCGCAATGATCCTCCTGCCTCAGCCTCCCGAGTGCTGGGGTTACAGACGTGCGCCGCCACGCCCAGCAAGGTCATTTTCTTTTTTGAGACAAGAGTCGTGCTATGTACTTCAGGCTGGCTTCATACTCACTACGTAGCTCAGGATGGCCTCAAACTCCTGGCTATCCTACCTCAGCCACTCAAGCGCTGGCATTACAGGTGTGCACCATCTTGCCTGGCTGAACTGGTCATTGCAAATTACTTTCCTTGGGCTGGGGATATAGCTCAGCGGCCTAGGCCTGCCTAGCAAACGCGAGGTCATGAGTTCAATTTCCGGTACCACCAAAAAAAAAAAGAAAAATTACTTTCCTTGAAAAGCACAGATAGGGAAGCAGTAATAAAAAGTGATAATGGTTAACGTCAAGTTACTTCTGTTTTTTTTTTTTTTTTTTTTTTTTTACTTAATTTTTTTGTGGTAAGAAAGCAGAAAGAACTTCATTGTCATTTTGATTAAATTGCCCTATTTGGGAAAGTTGGCTGTTACCTCTTTCTCCCCTCAATTTTTGGAAGATCAGATATCCTCATTTTGGTTTGGTGATGTGCAACTTTATTTTTTGGTCTTTTTGAGACAGGGTCTCCCTATGCAGTTCAGGCTGGCCTTGAGCTCACTTTGTAGCCCAGGCTGGTCTCGAACTCGCAGTGACCCTCCTGCCTCAGCCTCCTGAGTGCTGGGATTATAGGCGTGCACCTTCATGCCCGGCTTAATGTGGAACTTAGCATGAGTGACTTCATTTTGATTTTCAGTCTAGGCTATTGGTACCTAGTACAGGAGTATAGTCCAAGACCATGATCTATTCTATTTAAAAGAAGCAAGAAAATGGTGGAATAAAACCTCCAGAATGCTGAGAGAAAATAACATCACTTGGGAATTTTATTCCTCAAGAATGAGGACAAGCAGGGCATGGTGGCACGTTTCTGCAGTCCCAGCACTTGAGAGGTTGAGGCAGGAGGATCATACTGAGTTCGAGGCCAGCCTGAACTACATAATGACACCCTGTCTCAAAAAAACCAAAAAATTGGGGCTGGGGATTTAGCTCCGTGGTGCAGCACCTGCCTGGGAAGCCTGAGGTCCTGAGTTCGATTTCCAGTCATCCCCCCACCCCCAAAAAGGATGAGGACAAACTAATGACATCAGGTAGATAAATTATTTTCTTATTTTTTAAATTTTTTTTTGTCTTTTTGAGACAGGGTCTTGATATGCAGCTCAGGCTGGCCTTGAGCTCACTTTGTAGCCCAGGCTGGTCTTGAACTCACAACGATCCTCCTGCCTCAGCCTCCCGAGTGCTGGGATTACAGGCGTGTGCCACCACGCCCGGCAATAAATTATTTTCATATATGTATATATGGATATGTGTATGTATATATTACTATAAATTTTTTCCTTTAAAAAAAGATCATACACAGCTAGGATGGACTTACAGTCCCAGCTACTCAGGAGGCTGAGGCAGGAAGATCACTTTAACCCTGGAGTTAAAACCAGTCTGGGCTCAGAAAGATCCTTATCATAGAAAGATCTTTATCTCCTAGCAAAGAGACCTGCAGTCCCAGAGGCACCAAGATCACTTTAACCCAGAAGCTAAAGGCCAGTCTGGGCAACAAAGACCCTTATCTCTGAAAACAGAAAAAAAAAAGAGACTGGCTATAGCTCAAGGTAGAATCCTTGCTATATGCCAGAAGCCCTGGGTTTGATCTCTAGCACTGCAAGAATTTTAAAACACTGTGGCTTGTGTAGCCTATCATCCCAGCCCTGGGAAGCTGAGGCAGGAGGATGACAGGTTTGAGGCTAGCCTGGGCAACTTAGGGAGACCCTGTCTCAAAAAAAATTAAACACTGGGATGTAGTTTAGTGTGAAAGCCCTCCATTCAGCTCCCAATACTGGAACAAAATCTTGTAAATGATAGGTAACCTTATAGGGCCCATACAAGACTCTGTCTCAGAGCTAGGTTGGTCCTTGACTGAACCTCCTGCCCTTTCCCGCTGCAGACCTAGACCGGCCTGTTGCCTTGAGCTCCGAGAATGTGACTAGTTCCCGTTGAGAGCCTCCTCTACCAGATGTTGAGGTTTCCCTGCAGCTCTCTACTCTGCCCTGCCATCTGTGGGCCTTAGCTGGTCACTTGAGGTGCTGTTAGCAGAGTGGTCGTGAGGTAGGACCAGTTTGCAGAAGGTGCAGTTTGGTGAGCAAGGTTCTCTTTGGGGGAGCGACATGAAAGAAAGCTCAGCTGGACCCAGCAGCTGGTGATTCTGGGGATGTTAGAGCTGTCACACGTTAGGATCGGCACACGTGTGGGCAACGGCGGTTGAGGCAGTTAATCCCCTTGTCCTCTGCTCCCTGCCTGGGTGGACTCCTGGGATTTGGGGTCAGGCTGGATGTCACATGGGGTGCCAAGTGGCTCTCGCAGGAAACTCCTGCTTGTTTCTGCCTGCCAAGGGGCAGGGCCGTAGGAACCAGGACAGCTCATGGTGGCCGTGAGTAGCCATCTTGAGCGGATGGCCCAAGGACAACCTGGCGACTGCCAGGCGGTTGAGTGCCCAGGCTTCCTTGTTAGCCGATGCCCTCCCAGGTCTTCCAGGTGTAGAGGCGGGGCACTGGCAGACTGCAGCAAATGCTCACCTATGAACCGCCATTGGTACTGCTTCCTGGGCGGCACCCAGCCCCACCCAGCTCCTTCATCTTTGTTCTAGGGTTAGAGTGACAGTAATGCTTTCGCGTGAGGAGCCATACTACCTCTGGCTGTGAAACCAGGCTAGAACTCTATCTTGAACCCTTGAGAACTGGGTGATCTTGAGCACACGTTCCTTAACTTGTAGGTTTTTGGAACGTAAAATGGGTTCGCTAATTTTGCTCAGCACAATGCCTGATTTCAGCTTCAGGAAACCTGATTTCAACTTCAGGAAACCTTGCCTCAGTGACTCTGGAGTGAGGCATGAGCAGGATTCAGCCTCGCAGCCGAAATCCAGGAGTGCTAGGGTGTGCCGGTAGCCCCAGCTGTTCGGGAGACCGAGACAGAAGGATCACTTGAGCCTAGGAATTCAAGGCCAACCTGAGCAACACAGCAAGAGCCCCTTCACTAAGGGAAAATAAAGGTCCCTGCCAACAGCTCTGATAGGCGAGTTTAGGAAACGTTAACCTAGCTCTCCAGGTTCAGAAGCCTGGGGGATCACTTCTAGCCTGCACAATCCACACTGACAGCGAAGGGCGTTTATTGGCAGCAAGTGAGGAAGTGAGGGCAGTGTCCTGGGCTGGCGGAGCTGCTTTGCCCCAGTGAAGTCCCCACACTGTTTCTAATACAGAGTGGCCCATTAGACTGGAGCTCAGGACAGATTTTTCTTAGGAATAAAAAGTCGTAAACCTTTGTCACTAAAAAAGGTGATTTCTCCCACCCCCTGGAGCAGGAACTAGTTTTGATAAACCAGGAAATTGCTGAGTGAAAAGTAAGCCCTCTGGTGTTCCTGAATCTTGTGACTCATGACTCATTCTCTAAACAGACTACAGCAGTGGCGAACATTTTAAAGCTTTCAGTGCTTTCACACAGCCCAGCTGCGTACCATAGGTTCACCATCACTGGACTAGAATTTTTAACTGCAAATCAGTAAGGCTAGATGTGCCTGTCAACTCAGCACTTAGGAGGCTGAGGCAGGCAAATCGCCATGAGCTGGAGGCTATCCTGGGTTATGTAACTCAAGACCAGCCAGAACTACATAGTGAGACCCTGTTTCCCAAAACAAAACAAAACAAAAAACCAGTGAAGGAAAACAAACTCCACTGAAGAGCCTACATTTTGTGAAAGGTGTTTTTTTGTTTTGTTTTTTTTTTTGCGGGTGGGAGGTTTCTTTGTGGTGCTAGGGATTCAGCTGAGCTACATTCTCACCCAGGTGCCCAGCATGCCCTGGGTTCCATCCCCAGCACTAACTTGGTCCAAGTCTCTTAACGCAAAAGTAAAACTTGATTTCAGCCAAAAAGCAGTAAATTCACAAGTCATGAGATCTTCAGATCTTTGTACTAAACTTCATGTTCCTTTTCTTTTTTATTTATTTATTTATTTATTTATTTATTTTGGCTTTATGAGACAGGCTCTCATTATGCAGTTCTGGCTGGCCTTGAGCTCACTTTGTAGCCTAGGCTGGTTTCGAACTCGCAATGATCCTCCTGCCTCAGCCTCCCGAGTGCTGGGGATCCTCCTGAGTGCTGGAGATTCTCCTGCCTCAGCCTCCCGAGTGGTGAGATTACAGGCATGTGCCACCACGCCTGGCACTGTTCCTTTTCTTAAACCTAA